TGTAATCCTAGCACTCTGGGAGGCTGAGGTGGGAGGATTGCTTGAGGTCAGGAGTTTGAGACCAGCCTGATCAAGAGGGAGACACTGTCTCTACTAAAAACAGAAAAATTAGCTGAGCTTGGTGGCCTACGCCTGTAAGCTCAGCTACTCGGGAGGCTAAGGCAGGAGAATCGCTTTAGCCCAGGAGTTTGAGGTTGCTGTGAGCTAGGCTGACACCACCGCACTCTAGCCCAGGTGATAGAGCAAGACTCCGTATCAAAAAAAAAAAAAAAGTGCAATCTGGTGTTTATTTAATATGATCTCAAGTTACTTGAGATCTGTTCTTTAAGCTTTCTTTGGGGACAAATAAATCTATTCAGTGGACTACCTTTCCCTTCTTTTACTCTTCACGTTTCCTTTTTTAGCTCATTAGTACTGTCTCATACCCATCAAGGCAAGAAAGGGCAATTCTTTAGTTTCTCAAAAGTAATTATTACTTACGTTAAAAAGAAGTTTCTACACACTAGAACATCCTTAAAATTTTCCAAGTAATCATTAACCCATTTGCACTCTCTCTAAATTTGTCAATTAGGATTATTTTCTCCCACAAAAACAGCAGGAGTTTGTGACAGCTATCAATGCTGCCCCAACATTCCATATGGGAGATGGCTCGAAGGTGGCGCTGGTGAAAGAGGGGGAGTGCAGGGCAAGGCAAGGTCTCAGAGTGAGAATTATGCATTTACACTTCCATTTTAAATCTTTATTGTACTTCTCTGGTTATAAGAATAAATGCTCACTGTAGAAAACTCAGATCTTTCTGAAATACGAATGCAGAGAGTGAAAACAATCCATAATTCTATCCCTAAGAGCGAATCATTCTAGCTCTTCTTCTAACATTGTAAAACTTCACTAACGTTTATTTAAAATAAATTTTATTTATTTATTTTTTTAAAATAGGATCTTATTATGTTTAAACCAGTAACTCACTTTTCTTGCTAAAGATTTTATTTGGTCTACTGAGTAAACAGAGATCCACCACATTGTTTTTAAAAGGTTGGATAGTATTCTATGGTACGAATGAATCACTGTTTAACCACATTTCCACTCATGGAGAAATGTTTTCAAAATTATTTTTCTTTGGTGAATAGTCTTGCCCACATATCCTTATGTACCTGTGATAGCATTTTTGGATATTAAAAGTCCTAGAAATGGATTTGCTGGGTCAAAGAGTGCAAGTATTAACATTTTTATTAGACTGCTTATTAGATTGCATTTAAATTTTGAATCTTTAAAATTGGTCTGTAGTTTGAAATGACAGGAGCGCAATTCTCTGTTGTCTCTCGCACAGCCATCACCACGTCTAGTTCTCTTTAATTGCTTTGTCAGAAGTCAAGGAGATGACAGTTTCCTGTCACAGGCTGGCATGTGACCTCAGGTATTTTCAGTGTCAGTGCTAGAACTCTAAAGTACTTCAAAAATAATTGCCATTTTTTTCAGGGGCAGGAAGGTGAGCTTTTTGATTTCTTTTCCCCAAATGACATTAGTTTCAGATATCTTTTCGGAGTTTTGAGTAGGATTTAGTAAAATAGATAAAATAAGACTAATCTATTGCCCAATTCTTCTTCCATCTGCTGAAGTGATTGTAACATGTTGGTGCTCTTGTGATAACCACCCCGGTTGTCACCTGCAAGAGGCCATATCTGTCAATACTCATCTACTTAGCATATGGTTACTGTTTTAACACTTTACCAGTATTTTTCACGTTAAACCTAAGTCAACTGTTCTGGTCACCTTAAGCAATATTTCCATTTTGAGAGGACAAAGATGACAGAATTTCAAGAGTAAAATAGTGGTAACAGTAACCTCCTAGACCATCTAGTCTAAAGTGATTTTTGCTTCCTCTGCACTCATACATTTTATTTTAATTTTTTTGAGACAGGGTCTCACTCTGTTGCCTGGGCTAGAGTGTGGACTCATAGATTTTAAAGTCTCTGTATTATTCATTAACTTGGCAATCTCTCACAAACTTACTTTGGAGTTTAAAAAAAACGCATACAAAATGCCAAGTTATGATTAAAATTAAGGAAAGCATTTTCATTCAGGAACACAATTTAAGACTTTCTTAGAAGCCACGCGTAAAATATCCCTGGCCTAACTAACATTCAAGATTCTTTCCAGCCCTAACATACTATGAATCTACTAGTTTTCAAAGAAAGAAAATATGTATACACTACTAAAACTAGAATGAGAATAAGTGAGTCAATCTTTGATTTAGAAAGCAGTGCACTGATTTTTTCCTAAGCCTTGGAATCACTATAAAGATCAGATTTGAGAATTAAACTATATTGACCCTAATCTATATTCTGAAAGTTGCTTTTTTTAAAAAACAAAAACCTAAATACCAAATAACAACATGGTATTATTCCCCATTAACCGACAAAGTGGTTAATAGGGAATGTCTCTATAAGCATAAAAATATATTTTGAATGATATTATATAAGCAAGAAGACAAAGGAAATAGGTATGTATAACATTTATATTCTGGACTATGCCAGTGGGGGGTATGACACTGACGAGAGAGAGATCTGCCCTCTAATCTATGCCAAATGTGCAGTTATTTCAATTTTAGGACAAACAATAAAAAAGACATAGTGAAACAGAGACTAAAAAACAGAATCAGCATGAAAGAAAGATAAAGCTAAATCTGGGGCATATTTTGGATAATATATAACATTTTTTGGAATAAAGGCAGAAGGGAAGGGAAAGAAATGTACAAGAAACAATTAAAGAAAAGTCATTTGAGAAAAAAGTCCATTTTATAAAACACATTTTAATTCTAGTCTTTAGTACTTATTTATATCAGGCCACCTCTTACTGGATGTTTGGTTTCCTGTGCTGAGACGCACAAAAATTATCTTGTGGTTAGAAAATAGCATATTCTCAAGACGGTTGACTGAAAAATATATTTTTTGGCTTGCCATTTTTTACAACAAATTTTACTTTAAAAAGAGGGTGAATTAATTAGAATTGACATTAACTCTCGCTGGTAGAACTGCAGTGGAGAATTGTAGTGGATTTATTCAGCCTACTTAAAAAAGACAATGGATCAGATCCTGAAAAGGATTTTATATATAATTGACAAAAAGAACAGGGCCTGAAATAAAGGAAGGTTTTTGACCTGTAAATAGAAAGAAAAAAAATAAGAAAGAAAAAGAAAAGAAAAAATTAAGAACATTGAGGGAATGGTGGGAAAGATTTCATTAAACAGAATAGTTAGAGAAAGGCATGTGTCCAAGTTAGACTTTAGAGTAAAATCTGAAGAACACCAACACCACAAGCATTCTTGAAGAAAACTAATGCCAGGAGCACTCCTAAAGTTAATTTACTAAAATAAAAAGGTAAACAGATATTCAATTTGTTGAGGCTTACAACATCAAAGAAAGTATAGCATACTTGTAAGAGCAGACCTCAAGGAAAAGAAAATGCTCAAAAGAAAAATTTTAAAAGCCTGTAAAGTAAAAATTAGAACACTGTAACTTACTGAGGTAGATGAAAATATCAAAAGATGGAAGATTACAAGATGTTATTATGTTTTTGATCACTTCTTAGAAAGTAAGAACTGTCGTGATTAAAAATCTTACTTAGAGTGAATGGAAACATCAATAATCTTTCTAAAAATGTATAAAAAATGACTGTACAATTTTACAGGAAAAGGGAAAATTCCAGCATTTAAGAAATCCCTAATTAAATGTGCAAAAGTCCCTAAAAAGCAGCTTAATTAAAAACTTGGGGGCTGGGCCCGGTGGCTCACTTCTGTAATCCCAGCACTTTGGGAGGGAGACTGAGGCGGGAGGATTGCTTGAAGCCAGGAGTTTGTGACCAACCGGGCAACACAGTGAGATCTCATCTCTACAAAAACAATAACTAAATAAACAAAAATCTCACAGGCTGATATTAGGCTTGTAATATTTCCAAATTTTAGATTTAAAAATAGGCACATTATCATCTTTATTTTAAAAGATGCTTTTAAGCACATAAAAAACTCACTACCTATTTTATTTAAGAGCTCCTGGAAAAACTGATGGAATAATCAATAGCCACACCAAAACAAATTATATATAAAGTTCTACATTTCATTTTACAGGAATAGCATCTATTCAAAGTACAAAGTGCACGAATAACTCAGTGACAGGCGTAAGCTCAGTCAGGAATCAGAAATGTATTCCCAGTGGACGCCCAGCTCAACCTGAGAATTTCATGAGCACAATAAATCAAGGAAAAGCCTACCTTCAATAACTAAAGTAATCATAAAAACAGGACGATGGTTACTTTCCTCCAGCGATAACACAATCCTCGGTCTTATTGTTGTGGAGCAGAAGTCATTATGGGTGGAGTTGACGCGCAGAGCAGCTGAAATATTTTTGTTCCACTCCCCCATCCCCGCACACTTTCAGTGGGATAGAAGGGGCTCCAAAAAGGTAAGGGGAGAGCTCTGACTCATTAATTCCTACTAGAAATAATCAAGTTTTGATGTGCCCGCGGTACTCGTAAAGGCCACAATGAGATTTTAAAAAATTCCCCGTGATTAAGTCCTACCCTGGAAAAGAGACCATCCCTTTCTTCCCTCCCCTGCCAGCTCCTCCTTGGGACACTTGGCTGAGTCTTTCTTTCCCTCCTTCCCACGCTGAGGTGAGGCGGCAGGAAAGCCGGGGACGCTGTTTTTCTCTTCGCACGGAAGGAACTCTGCGGGTAGGAAGCCGGGATAGCGGGAAGGGAGCGGGCAGCACTGTGGGGAGGCAAAGAAGGCTTGCCTGGGACAAGGCGGGCTGGGGGAGAGAAGGCACACGCGGGCCGCCGGGCCAAGGAGGCCGAGGTGACGAGGGAAATCTCCCGGCTCGGAACTGGGACTGAGCGCTTCCGGCGGCCCACGGTCGCTCTCTGCCTAGCACGGCCCGTGTTCTGGGCCCCAAATGGGCCAGGCAGGGAGTTAGGAGAGAGGGTAAACCGCGGCTCGCACTTGCCTGAGACCGGGTGACCAATAACTGGTAATAGTCTTTGCTCGGCGCGGGGCCTTGTCCTACAATTTCGAAGAGAGTCTCCGGCAGCCACGACGCCATCTTGGGACGCCACCGCCGTCGCTAAGACAACCAGGAAGGGGTGGGGCTTGACTGGGGTCATGGGGCCAAAGACCTAGTTTAAATGAGACCCCGCTTTTGAGCTGGCAGGGGGTTCTTTAACTTGGGGTGATTGTTCCTTTTTCCAAGGGTCACAGGGGCTCCTGATCCGTGAAATTTCTACCTCTAGGTTCCGTGTGACCCGAAGGGGAATTAGTTCCTGCTACCACGGAGGGGAGTGGGTGACCCCGGCGGAGGGATACCAAGCGGATCCCTCAGTCCCCTTCCTGGTCCCTCGAAGGGATCGGGAGGAGATCGGAGGCCGCAGGGGGAGTCGAGCTGGGCGGCGGGGGAGGGAGGGGCTATGTGATGGGCCACGAGTAGGCAGCGGGGCAGGTCCCGCGGACGAGCCACTTAGCCGGAGCCAGAGGGCAAAGTAGTTCCCTGAGGGTGTTGGCACGAGCAGGGAGGGAGGCGGCGCGGGCGGAGGCGCACGCCGGGCGCGGTGCTGCGGCTCAGCTGATAATTGAAGGGACCCGAGAGCCGCCGCCGCCGCCGCCGCTGGGGGGGGTGGGGGGAGCGAGTGGAAGTTACCGCCGCGCCACCGAGTCCGGACCGGAGACTTTGGGGCCTAACTAGGTAATTGGGGCGCAGTTCCGAGCGGCGGGGCCAGGCCTGGGGGGAGGGGGCCGGGCTGAGGGTAGAAAGAAAAAAAATAAGAAAGAAAAAGAAAAGAAA